TTTGTACTTCATCTTGATGATGTGGGAATTATTCATCTTCTAACTAGCTACGTGACCTGGTAAGTAAATTGTCTGGATATGTTTCCTTCCCTCTAAAATGGGACCTTATTAAACTAGGAGATGACCTCATACCAGCTCTTCTTTACCTCACAATAAAAAAAAAAAAAAAATGAAATGAACACAAGTGAAATTATAATGAATGATGGTAAAAGTTGGCATCTAAGATAAAAATATTCTGCAGAATATCCATTATTTTCAAACTAATTACTTTTATAGAAAATGTTATCAAAGTAAGTATATACTTTTTCTCTAATTTATGGTTGAGACTAATGGTAAATATGAGAGGAGTAAAATTAAATGAGGAACAAGTTGGTTACAGCCATTTACCCCCATTTACAATAGGGCAAATCAAAACCTCTTGTTGATAATTCACATATATATGATTCTTATATTTTTATATATGATATTCATATATATAATTCAAATACACACATATACTTATAGGAGCCATTAAAACCAAATATGATTATCCAAAACCCTATTAATTGGTTCTTATCCACAAAAAAATCTATCAAAATAATTATTAATATTTAAGTAAATGTAATTAGATGCAAGCATACATCTTACCATTATTATTTAGTTTTGTTCTGGAAGTCAATATGATAAAAGCATGTATAGCAGGCAGCCTTTTTTTTTTTTTTTTAGCAGGCAGCCTTTAAGAGGCCCAAAATGATTTCTACCTCCTGGTATTCACACCCTTGTACAATCCCCTCCTTTTAGTATGATAGACTGTCTATACCTTGCTTTTATTATGGCAAAAGGATGTCATTCCCATGATTATGTTACATCATATAAGATTCTCTGCTGGCACACAAGAGCTATTTTCCGGCTGGCCTTGAAGACACAGTTATGTAGTAAGAGGCCATGTGGCTGCCAAAGGAACTGTGGATGACCTGTGGGAGCTGACAGGAGCTCCCAGTCAACAGCCAGCAAGAAAATAAGGACCTCAGTCCTACAACTGCAAAGAAATGACTCTTCCATCAACCTGAATGAACTTGGATTGCTCCCCAGTTAAGCCTCCAGATTAGAACACAGCCTGGATGACACCCTGATTACAGCCCCGTAAGAAACTGAGCCGAGGATCCAGATGAGCCACACATATACTCCCGACCTATAAAACTGTGAGATAATAAATGGATTTTTTAAGCTATTAAGTTTGGAGAAACTTGTTATGCAGAGACAGAAAACAAATACATGGATACCTGCCCCAGTCAAGCTTTGATAGGACTGGAGTTCTAGCCAAGGTCCTGGGTACCTTGATTGCACTCTCTAAGCAATCCTATGTTAGACACACCCCAGCTTAGCTGAAACCAGATTCTTTTTTTTTTTTTAGTTTTATTTATTTATTTGTCAGAGAAAGAGAAAGAGCACCGTGTGCACACAAGCAGGGGGAGTGGCAGGCAGAGCAGGCAGAGGGAGAAGCAGGCTCCCCACTGAGCAGGGAGCCCGATGTGGGGCTCAATCCCAGGACCCCGGGATCATGACCTGAGCAGAAGGCAGACACTTAACTGACTGAGCCATCCAGGCATCCTGCTGAAGCCAGAATCTTAACTGAAATGATGATATAATAATTTTTTGTTGTTTTAAGTTGGTAAGTTTTAGGGTATTGTTACATAGCAGTGGATAACTAGTACAGCATGAAACAGACAAGCATACAAATACCAAAAGGAAAGAGGGATGATAATCCTAGAAAATGAGAAGAGAATCAAATTAAAAAATTATCAAGATCAATAAACTGGGTAGATTTAAGATCTATACAGAAGAATGTATTTCCAAAGTACTTATAATATGAATGGGATTCAACTCCTAATAGTGACAAAAATTAAAATAGCCAAGAATGTATCAATGAATCAAACTATACATTTTTACTGAGTAATAGAAAGAGCTTGAATAAAAAAGCAATCTCAACATTGTAAAGAGGTCAATTCTGCCTAAATTTATTTATAAGTTCATTTGACTCTAATCAAAATAAAGGAATATCTTATGAACATGATGAGATAATGTAATTATTTTCTGTAAGAATGAGGAAGCAAGATTAAGACAAATTTTAAACAGAAGGATTAATGAGCAGAACTATCCTTATCAAACATTAAAATATAATATAAAGGAATAATCACTCAAATGTTATTAGTTGCTGTGTCCCAGACAATATCCTTACTGTTGCATATACAGATTGTTACTTCAACCTTATGACAATCCAACAAGTAGAGATACTATCATTAAACACATCTTTTAGATGAAAAACCTGAGGCACAGGTCACAAAGCTAGTGAATATATTAGGGAGACACAGTGTGGTATCAGAGCCAAAAGAGACTGACAGGTACGATCAGAAAGAACCAAGTAGTTTCTTTCTTTCTTTTTTTTTTTAAAGATTTTATTTATTATTTGACAGAAAGAGACACAGCAAGAGAGGGAACACAAGCAGAGGGAGTGGGAGAGGGAGAAGCAGGCCTCCCATGGAGCAGGGAGCCCGATGCGGGGCTCGATCCCAAGACCCTGGGACCATGACCTGAGCTGAAGGCAGATGCTTAACTACTGAGCCACCCAGGCGCCCCAAGAACCAAGTAGTTTCAAGCAGGAGTAAAAAATTGGGAAAAGATCAAAGAGATATCACATGCCAACAGGGATGGGAAGATTTATTCCATAAATGATATGACTTTAGCTATTTCAATCTTCAACCAGACTGTCCTCTCTATCCCCATTGTCACACACAAGAGATAGGAAACTGTTTTCACCCTAACCTGCTGGCATGTTATGGGCAATGTTCAGAACTGACAAGGGTAAAGGAACACTCTTGTGCAAGAATGAAATAGAAGAACCTAGAGGAAAACAGCCTTACAAATTTTATTTTATTTTAAAGATTTTATTTATTTATTTGAGAGAGAGAGAATGAGAGACAGAGAGCATGAGAGGGAGGAGGGTCAGAGGGA